CATAACTTATATATAAAATGAATGAACAGCACATTATAAAGAGAATATTTTTGTTTATTTTACCAAATTGTCCCTATTTAGAGGCAGATAGTACCAGCAACCGTCATCATGCGTCGGCTGGAGTTAATTCCCAATTTTTGCATATCAAGTAGATTCGTTTTAATTTGTTTTTTGAATGACAATCTAGATGTTAGTAGCCTTATTGGTGGTGGTATATTGTTCCAGCATTTTGTCGCTTGATAACGGAAACTACACCTAAATGCCACAGTTTTATGCACTTGGATGACCAGTGGAGGCCTCACGGCCCTTGGTACTCTCAAATCACGAATACGGAATGTCAATTTGTCTAGCAAATACTTCGGATTTTTTGACTTAATTATGTCAAACATTAACATGGCCAGATGTAGGTAACAGCGCGACTCCATATTCAACATTGAGGCGTTATTTATAAAAGGCGAGACATGAGTACGCGGTGGGATGTTAAAACAAAAACGGCAACACGCATTCTGAATCCGCTGTATCAGAATCTGAGTCCTACACAGCAGACGAGGACCATAAACCAAGTCGCCGTAATTCAACCTTGATAAAACTAAAGATTCACATAAGGCGATACGAGCTTTTTCCGACAGAAAATTTCGTATCCTATACAATACCTTCAGCCGGTAAAAACAATTTCTTACAGTGCCCAATACATGGTTCTCAAAACGCAATTGACTATCAAAAATCATTCCAAGATTGTTTGCTTCATTGACTAGCTCTATGTCACTATCATTAATTTTGATATTTGGGGGATGGTTCAGAATAATAGCAGTTTGGTTGTTCGATCCCAGGACCATAAATTTGGATTTTGTCTTATTGAGAACCAAATCGTTCTCATCACACCACATAGCTACGCCTTTCAAGTCTTCATTCATCTCCCAAACGGTTTGGGTTATTTCATGTTGAGTCCCAGAAATATATAATTGCACATCGTCAGCATAACAGTGGTATTTACAATATTTAATAACTCCTGGCAAATCAGCCATATATATAATAAACAAAAGGGGTCCAAGTATGGAGCCTTGGGGTACACCTCGCTTAACAGGTTCCGGGCTGGAATTCATAAAAGATCCGTCCTGCCTGCGGAGTCTAACCGACTGAAAGCGATTGCTGAAGTAGCTACTAAACCACTTAATCGAGTTCGGATCGCAGCCGTAATAGGCTAACTTAGATAAAAGTAGAGGGACACTGAGACCATCAAAGGCACGCGAGAAATCAAGAAGCGTCAATAATGTGACGCGACCAACATCCTGCTCCGCAAGAATATTGTCAGTAACATCCAACAATGATGTCACAGTGCCACGACCCTTCCGAAAGCCGGATTGATGTAGTGGTAATATATTATTTGCCTCCACATACTTCACCAGTTGACAATATACAACCTTTTCCAATATTTTGGACAAGAAAGGCAATATACTTATTGGTCTAAGATCATTTGGCTCACTAGGAGATTCAACTTTAGGCAATGGTGTAATTAGTGCAGTCTTCCACTGATCGGGGACCGTACTGGAGACTATTGACCTGTTTATTATGGAAGTGATTACCGAAAGCGTAGGTGGCAGCGACAGCATCACCATGTCCCTATTAATTTCATCACAGCCAGCAGCGTTTGATTTCACTGTCATTATGTATTTATGATTATGATATGAAACCTCAGCTTCAGTAACAGTATGCAATTTAAACGGAGGTGTGACGATGTTGAACCGATAATGCTCGAAATAAGACATCTGAGAGATGGATACATTTTCCGAGCCAGGCACCTTCAAAAAATGATTATTTATAGTATGCGGATTGAATTTAGAATTCAGAATTTAGAAGAGTTATTTTAGAATTCAAAAGGTAGTAATCAATGAAGCGAAATCTGCAGGGGCACCAGTTACTATGGGCGTACCTCAGGGATCGATATTAGGACCATTGCTTTTTCTAATTTATATAAATGATCTTCCTCACTTTACGAAGAATTTGTGCGAGACAGTATTATTTGTAGATGACACCTCTTTACTGTTTAAAGTTGAGAGGGGTAATGATTGTTTTGACGATGTAAATAATGCTCTCGACAATGTTCTACAGTGGTTTGATAATAATAATTTAAAGCTCAATTCAAATAAAACGAAATGCATAAAGTTTGCATTACCTAATGTGAGGCATGTCAGTACACTTATAAATGTAAATAGTGAAAAAGTTGAGTTAGTAGAATCGACAAAGTTCCTTGGTATTACACTAGATTCCCGACTGCAATGGGATCCTCATATTGATAGCTTGTCAAGTAGACTGAGTTCTGCAGCTTTTGCTGTTAAGAAAATTAGACTCTTGACAAATGTTGAAACGGCAAGATTGGTATATTTTAGTTATTTTCATAGTGTAATGACGTATGGTATATTGTTATGGGGTTCTGCGGCTAGCATTCAGGATATTTTTATTTTACAAAAGAGAGCTGTCCGTGCTATATATAATTTACAGTCTAACATTACGATTCCTTCACAAAAAAAAGTAGTGTTCATAATCTTAACACAAGAAATAAAGATAAACTTGCCGTTCCAAGCTTCAGACTTCAAAAAACCAGAGGATCATTTCTGGGTAAATGTATTGCTATGTTCAATAAACTTCCACAAAATGTAATTGACTTACCCATAAATAAATTTCAAATTCATGTAAAGAATATACTTATGAGTAAAGGTTATTATAAAGTTGATGATTATTTTAAGGATCGCAATGCATGGAATTAATAGCCTTCGCTTTGTTCTATAAAGACTAATTAAATGTTCAACCTATGTCCTACAAACTTTGAAAGTTGTATTTACTATTGTGATAAATTGATAATACATATTATTTTGGTAATGACATGATTTATGTAAATGTCATTACTTATGATAAAAAGCTGATAAGTTTCTTTCGCTTGTTCTTCATGTCAGCTAAAAAACGTCCTGAATAAGTGGTAGGGGAAAAAAGTTTTTTGGACGATTCAAAAGTGCTTGTAATAGCCTACTTGAATAAAGATATTATCATTTCATTTCATTTCATTGTCAAAGCACTCTGGAAGGAGATCGTATTTTTCTTGAGTCGGTAAAATTTGTCTTTTTAAGTTTCTCCAAAAGATTTTGCTATTATTTATATTTTTGTTGATATATTGATCAAAAAAGGCGCGCTTTTCATTTATAATACTAGTTGAAACCATATTTTTCATGTCCTTATAAAACTGTTTGTGAACATCTGACCCTGATTTCGGATATCTTTCATGGGCTTTTTCACGAAGATCTATCATAAACTTGATAGTATCAGTTATCCAAGGAAGACTCCAACTAGATCGGTCTTTTGCTCTAATAACGGGAGCATGTCTATCCAAGACAGAAATAAGAATATAATTAAATTTGTCAACTATATCGTCCACTGTGGTTGACTCGAGGACAGATTCCCAGTCCTGAGCATTCAGGTCGTCATTAAATGTTTCGAGTTGTATCCTTTTTATTGTCCTATACGTAATATACCTTGGAGGGGACTTTGACCGTTTGAGCACTAGACTAAAATTCACCATAGCATGACCCAAAGACCCAGCAATATTAGACACAGAAATATCACGGATTCTACAATTTGTACAGACAAGATCGATCAGTGTACCAGACTTGACTGAGAAATGAGTAGGATTCTTTACAAATTGTTTAAGATCGAAAGATCGCAGGAAGTCCTCCACTTTGGAGGCATGAGAGAGAATGGGGTCAAGCATATTAACGTTAAAATCTCCCATCAAAACAATATAGTCATGTTCAGGGAAAGCGGAAATCGTCCTCGTTAGTACATCAAGAAAGAGATCAATACCAAGCCATTGTGGCCTATACGCAGTACCTACAAAGACACGGTAGCCATTCATTCACGTGGACAACCATAACTGTTCTATGCCAGTCGTGTTTTGTTTTAAGAAACGCACACTCAAATTCCGTTTTACATAAAAAGCTACACCGCCGCCTCTGCCGCCGCACATGTGACAGGGACGCGGCACATTGCGTAGTCGATACCCGGGCGGGGCAGGTGCACGTGCTTCTTCACCAGGTTTTATCCATGTTTCATTAATGGCCACTATGTCAGCGTCAAAACGATTCATGGCGATAAGAAAATCCTCATGACCAGTGTTCAATGATCCCGCGTTGAGAAGAGCCAATTTAAAGAACTTATTTTTTGGTGCCATTTAAGTAAATTTAATATAATTTAGATTCAAACTCATATAATAGTAATATAGCACAAATTCAGTATGAAATATATTAAAATTGTAAAAGAAATAAAACGTAATAAATAAATCATTTAAATAAAATATTGAATAGAATAACACATAACATTTGATTAAGTAAATCAAGAATGAATATATTAATTCATACAAAATTATATTAGGGAAATTTGTATAATCTAATAAGTATATACATATAATAGTATAATATATAATAGTATAAACGTATAATAGTAATTTATTTCAACAACTAACAACCCACTTAAAACATTAAATTAAATAAAATTGTATCGATTCAAACGCGTTGCGGCGCACACAGTTATACTAGTAACCACATTGCCTAATATACAGGCTAGTAACCAAAAAAGAAGAGAACTCAGAACACAACTTAAAAATTCAATTGACATAATAATACAAATCTTAAAACAATTGACACATTTTCTAGCTTTTCTATGCATAAATAAATTATTTAATATCGTAATACAAATAACAGAGTGCTTAAAATTATACAGAGAAAGGAAAACAATATTATCGAAAATATAATCACAGTAAATAACACGATAAAATAACACTACCATGGAATAAAACAACATGTCCCCCAATTCATGCACAACTACAAAATCTCTAAATTTATTGACCAATATAAAAAACTCAATTTTTAACACCGAACCTGTATTACAAACATATTCCTGTTTCTCAACAGCAACTATCAAAAAGAAATTGAGATAATAATATAAACTATTGACTAGAAGAACGAACAGTATCGGATTCCAAAAACACGACATATATCTGCCTCTGTGCGCAAGCGGTGTCGTGGCGAGTCACCACCCTGACGCTGACGTGCATAGACTCGACCATCCCTCGTCCACACGTACCGCCAGTTAAGACGTCCTGCAACTTCTCGGGCTCTGCGAAACATCTGCCTGTTCGCACGGGTTAACCTTTCATTGACATAAAATCTTCGTGGCGGTATAATAGGGATGATGCCCTCCGTTGTAGCACCACGTCGCACACGAGACGCCCGCAAAACTTGGTCACGGATAACTCGTCGGGTGAACTTTACCACGATGGGACGTGGTCGCACCGTTTTCTGGCCGGCTGACTCGTGCGACACTAACAATTTCTTGCTAACTCCTAATTTCCGTGTAACAGTCATGACAACATGTTGCAAGCTTTCACCCTTTGTTTCCGGAATGCAAGAGATTTCTATATCATTCAATAGTAAATCCTGATCACGTTCATTAAGTTCCATCTTTAGCTGTTCCACGGTCGTCAGCAGCGAAGACTCCACATCCGAACTACAATGTTTATCTTCTAAACGTTTTTCTAGTGTTTCAATTCGGGAAGATATTCCATTTATACGGTCCTCACATACAACAATTCTATCTTCAAAACGAGACATAGTCTCGTTTAACTCCTCCACCTTCATTCTCGTCATAGATAGCTCCTTTCGAAATTGACGTAATTCTTCAATTAAAGTTTTTGTAAGTGACGTATCTAGGGAAATATTATGAGTAGCGTTATTAAGATCATCAGCAACGATGATATCGGACACATCCATGTTATCGTCCGGCGGGCTTACTGATACTCCCGCCCCACGACGAGTAGTAACCACGTCAGCGTTAATACATAAAGGGCACTTCCAACGACTTCGATGTTCCTGAGTAAGCGTATTAAAGAACCGTTGTTCTGATACATTTGCACACAACAGGTCATAGTATTGCTCACAAATATTACAGCGTAGAAATCGTCTTTCAACTATCAATTGCAAACAACCAGCACAGGATATAGTTTGCGACATACTGAAGATTTCTATGAATATTATTAACTATTATAATTAGAAAAAAAATTACAATAAAAAAAATATAAGAAGATATTTTCGCGCAGTGGATTTGAGAAAAAAAAATGTCCAATCCGTAGATTCGAACCGCTGCTTCCTGTTAAGAAAGGCTCCTTTCAGTCCACAATCACTACCATTACACCAGTGAATCTTTAATGAAAACGATGAAATTGTTATACTGTTGTATTTGTAGACATTACTGGAACTTAGTTTGAAGCTCAAGGACAATCGAGTGAAAGTTGCACTGTTTATCGTCAGAAATTAAAAATGTTTATCACACCACCGTCACTATTACTATTTTATTTCAAGTTTGTATCAAAACCAATGGACAGCCGCCTGTATGACTTATATCATTTGATATCTCACGCCAACTTTAATAGTATAGTATGAATATTTATGTAAAAAATTTCACGTTTCCTCGAAAAAACAATTTTATCACGGACTTAGTAATAACACTACATATCAAGTCAACATGTAAGAACACTCTCCGAGACTAGTTGAAAATTCAGTACATGTTTCAAAAATTGACACTTATGGCAAATAAATTAAGGGACATTATAATTTAGCGCATATAGTTACTTAAAATACTGAAATGGATAAAACAAGCGAAAATTCACGTTGATATCATTTGACAGATTAATTGGATGATAAAGAATAGAAATTGCTAACTTATGTTATTTTTTAATATACCTACTTTTATTATAAAGTTCCCCTTTATTTGATAAAATATTCGAATCACATTGGCTCCGAAACTACAGACTACATCATACGCGGGTAACAAGCTATTTTGTACAATATACTATTTACCTGACGTCCAATATTACATATCTATTATCATCGATATGTGAGGAAGAAATTGCACTAATAATATTGGACTTCAGGTATATATTAAGCAATGGTGAAACGCTATTGAAATGCGAATTCTATTATATCGTGAACAGATTAGCGGAATGGGCCTGCTGGTATATTTACTACCCCCGGTTTCGATAACCAAAAAACTATCCGTTTTTGCTACCATCCGTAGCATTTCCTACCGATGGTAGCAAAAAAGTGTTTCAATAACATACCATTGGTAGCTAAAGCTACCGACGGTGTGCTACTAACGGATTGATCTGATACTGATAACCGTTCGTAAGCAAAATGTATGAAAATGGCGCAAAAAGGTGTTTCAATAAAAAAATCTATCCGTCGGTAGAGCTGTCAAACTTACTATGCGTAGCTTATCTGTCAAATTTGCCTACCGGCCATTTTCCACCGGTTATCGTAAAAATATTTAGAAATTATACGTTTTCCCTTATTAATAAATAGAAAAGTAACAGTTTATTGTTAAAAAAATAATATTGTAGAAGAGTTTGATATGTTTTGTGGTTCCAATTAGAAGAATTTAAGTTGTAATCATGTCAATGTTTGTACCTTTAGGGGTCATACCACCAATTAATTATTGCTCCAGATGCTTTCTACGATATGTTTCTGTTGAAAAACTTGATAATTCACTTCTATATACTTATGAAAAACCTGGTGCTGATGAAACTGAATTTGCCACCTACTTGTACCAAACTTATACACGTTACATTAGTTTATATCCTTTATTTTTTGTTAAACACTGATATTGATTAAATTCTTAATAAAACCCAATTTGAATATAATTTATTTATTTTACAAATAAAAAACAATTCATAAAAAACTACACAATTTTTACATTTTTCCATTGCATTTTTCTACGTTTGTTTTACGATTTGATATAATTATTCCACTTTTACAATTTAAAATGTGTATAGTCTTATTTTTAATCGACTTCAACGAAAGAGGTTTCTGATTCAAGTGTAACTAAGTCTGTATAACAATGTGGGGATAAAAATGTAAGATTTGTTGACATTAGCCTATAGTAATTTCATTACTTTTTCAATTTTAAGTACTATGGAATTGTAAATCAATATTAGATAAAATAACGATCTTAGGTGTAATTCCTTTTAAAGTTATTTACTTGTTAAAAGAAATGGTTAATAACAACGTGAGGATGTCAGTTTTGGAGTGTAATTCGAATAATAAAACATAACTAGTTTATAGTTTACCTGGTTGACAGATTTTTTCTATTTTATTTGTGTTTTTTATACAATAAGACTAACGAAGGATACATTTCAGATTTTATATGTTTTAGCATTCGAAAGAGACTTATATACTTTGTAATATATAAGATGAAGATTTTTAAAAAACTTCTGAATTATTGAATTTGAATGAAATTTAAAAGTTCGTTTGTCATCTACCGTGATATCGTAGTTAAGTCTTATTTTGTTAAATTTTGTCAGTACATAGTTACTTATTACAATAAGAATACCTAAATTACCGACCTAATGACATGACGAAGCGTGATGCTAGTTCTCGGCCATTTACAATCTTGTATCAAGCCGTCCAATCTATTTCTCGAGTCTTTAATATTATTTTAAAAATCTAAGTATTTTAGAAAGGTTCGCTGATCTACGCAAAATACTTAGATTTAGCAACACTGCACACATATTAATAATAAATCATTCGAAATAAAAAAGTTTAATTCAATGACCTAAATGTTTTGAATCGCTGTTCCTTGCCTGCAGCAAAAATATTTCTATCCCTTTTTATCTAAAAAAATTTGATTTTAGTTCAAGTAAAAAAATTACTAAAAACTTTTAAAGAGATCACATCTATTTGATCTCAACTATTTGTTGTAATGGTGATTCTTTTGCTTACATTTGAATTCCATTTCAGACAATAATTTGTTTCTCAAAATAACACCACTTTTAGGAACTAACCATACAATAAATAAGTCATAATAATTCCAAAACCAATTTCAAATTTAGCGTCGGTACGTAATCAGTTCGCCTCTTTCCTATTGATTTCTTTGTCTTCCTTCTTACGATTTTGTTTTTTTCCAAGAAATTATTAAACTTTAAAGACCAACATTTCAGTATGATCATAATATTACCTAGACAAGGCTGTATAGGAAGATCCCTTTTTTTCGAATTAAATGATTACAATTTAAAAAATGAGCTACCGACAACCGTTCGTAGTTGGTAGGCGCCTACCGATGATTGTGAAACGCAAAAACGAATGGTTGTCGGTAGCTTAAAAAAACGGTCGGTAGCTGCTACCGACGGTCGTCGGTACATTATTGAAACCGGGGGCTAGTCTAACCATAAATTCTGTTACCTACTGGCTATTTACAAACAAAGAGGAAGTATTTAAAAAAAAACGAAAGCACTAAAAAAGCACCTCCACCAGATGGCGACTCTAGCAAAAGTTGATTTTTGCAGGAAACGAATAGACCAAAGATAGTCATTTCCGTTCCTTTTAACTAACATATTAAAAAACCTGAAATTTGATAAGTTCGAAACTTAGATATCAATATAAATACGAAAAAGTACAAATAGAATATGAGTTGTTTATTGAGTTTTGAAAACTAATTTACTTTTAAACTTAAAAGAAAACCAGAAAGGTTGTCATGGAGAAATCAAGAACGTACCGTAACGACATCTAGTTTGATTTCGGGAACTAATATTTTTATTTAAATGCTTCCTTAAAAAAACATTAATTTGAATTTCGAACATTAGCTTCTACGATAATAAATAGACTTCTTTACCGCCATTATCGTATGTTTTTTGTTTAGAAATTATTTGTTTTGATAAATAGAGCACTAAAGAGAATAGGATTGCAGTCATTGCACTGTACAAAGTAGGTAAGGATCAAAAATGTTGGCGCCAGCCGACACTGATACATTGAAAAAGCTAGGGATTAGCCGAATGTTTGTGTATCGTACCATCCAAAGGTACACTGCAACCATGTTTGTTGATGACCGTGAGAGATCCGGCCGACCGCGGTCTATTCGAACAAACCAGATCGTTAATGCAGACAAGGCCAGAATTCGTCGAAATCCCATAAGGAAGCAGAAAATCCTTTCCAGAGAAATGAGAATCCCACTGAGGAAACTTTCTCGGAATATCAAACAAGACTTAGGTCTAAGGGGCTTAAGTTTATAAGTCGGTTACAGATCTATAATTGCATGCTACTAATCACAAAGTCAAAAATTATATAAAAACTTCTTGAATATAACACTATGCCACCTGCCAGCTAGTTTATAACAGGCACAGTTACACAAAACAAACCATACGTGTTCTATTATAAAACTAAGTTTGTCCTCCGATTATGTAGCTAACAACTGTCAACATTTACTTAGTCAGATTATATATATATATATATATATATCGACGCTGGAAAGCAAACACGTAGTAACCCGCAAAACCAAAATTGTTCTTTAGAGCAGAAAAACTCCTATAAACGTCCATGGTAACAAATCAGGTGTTCCTTAATCAATTTATATGGAAAGAAGATATTTTCTCTTGGAAAAATATAAAGATTTTCCATTCTAAATATCCAATTTCGTTTTGCAGGTTACTACGTGTTTGCTTTCCAGCGTCGATATATATAAAACTCGACACAGCGCTATGGACACCATTACGTTTATACGGTAAAAGCAAAACTAAAGTTACCGGCAATATAAACAGACGCTGCGAATCGTCACCACACTGGAAATGAGTTTCAGTGAAAACTGTGAACTTTGTGTTATTCTTAGCGCGCTCGCTGCCAGCAAGCAAACGTTTGCAATGGACGGCAAACTGCTTGTTATGCTATCTGTATGTACTTAATTTATTTTAAACTTTTTTGAAATTGCTGAAATGCCAATATAACGGTTGTTTTTGACTGATGTGTAGTTTAGGCATTATATGATGAACCTGGCATTTCATGTACCTTGTAGTACCCACCAATTCAGAATATAGTCGTATGTAATACCTTCAAGATTTCTACTTTTATAACAATTACCGTTTATTTAGTCCTAGGTTTCCGCATGCAAACTTTTTGTCTTTGATCTTCAACAACATTTATTTTTATTATTCACTTTTCGTTATTTGAAATTTAGTCTATATATAATC